ACTCCCTTTTAACAGGAAGAAACCTCCAGCAGAACCAGGCTCAGTGTGAGCGGCCATCTGCTGAGGCCGACTGGAGTTCAAGGAGACAGAAACAGAGATACAAGAAGCAGCTTTAAAAGGCGGCCCCGTCCAGGAAACACACAGCCAGGCAGACGAGCTCCGAGCCAGCTCCCATGCCAGAGGACGAACAGAGCACATCCACTCAGACATGGTCAGAGAAACACGGAACACACGGGAAAACAGGCCGATCTCCAGCATCTATAAACAACATTACTTTATTATTGTAATGTTATGATTTTATTCTTGTAATGTAACATTATTTTCGTAAGTTTACTGCTTTTTTTCTCGTAATTTTATGACTATTTATTCTTAAAATAAAGATAAAAACTCTCTAGCCTGACCCTAATACTCGGTCATATAGGTGTACCCCTTAAAGTCGTAGGGAAGTCATTTTTAAATTTCAAATCATTCTGGCTTAAACATGTATATAAATGTACTCTTTATCAGACCATATTGTCCCAAAAGTTAGGAAATTTCTATTTAAAAAAAAAAGACCAATCATTTATAAGACCTGCAAATGTGTCAAAAAAAAAAATTGGATTTTAATACTTTTAATCCATTTTAGGTAACTTAAGAATTTTGGGGTAAAAAAGTAACTTAAGACTGATAGTTTACAAATAAACTAATACAAGACTAGACATGAGAGCTGTTTAATCTGTGAAGAACAAAAAATATATAAATTAGCTCTTCTTACAACCTGTATCTTTCCTCTCTCAGCGTCAGGTTATGCCCACACTGGATGATGACGATGGCTGTGATCGGGAAGATGAACTTCCTCAAGTTGTTGTCTTAAAAAGCGGAGATCTAACTGCAGATGAGGTGAAGAAACTCACAGAGGAAATGCAAGGCAAAAGAGGGAAAGGTCAGGATATTTCTCTTGTCACGGGGAATAACTTTACACCTCTTTGGATTTATCTGAGGCAGCACTGTACATATACAATTAATATCCTTTATCTGTCTCTATTATATTGTCAGGCGAAGAGGCTCTTTCTGAAGGCAAAATTCTCTTCAAGAAACCAGCAAAGCGCTCATCCTCAGACAAGTTTCAGGGCATCACTGCAAGCTCCAGCAAAAAGAAGAACAACAGCGGAGAGCAGTTGGAAAAGGACAGAAAACTGGTGAAGAATGTAAAAAATAACAGCCTGCTTTCATTTGGAGGCGAAGAAGAGGAAGAGAATGAGTAACTGTAAGACTGTACCTCTAAGTCTAAATCACAAGTTTATCATTCACAATGAATATAAACCAACAAATGAGTTTACTTCTATTTTTGGCTGCACTTGTATCAGTGTTGACTCATGAATTTGAAAACTGTTCAACTACAGCTGAAACTATTCTGCCTAAATAAACCACGTACCAAGGTCTATTTAAGTGATCATCAACTTGTGTGTTCTCTGCATTCAGAACTATGCAGAAGTGTTGATCAACCCCAATTTTCTTTCCATGTTGCTTCCAAGAAGCCATACTTTGTGTGTTCCAGAGAATATGTTAATAAAAGTTTCACTTGTAGCAAAATGGCTTTTTAGAATAAATAAATAGAAAATCCTTGTGGGATGACCTCAAACTAGCTAAAGGATTCAGATCTTTTAACCTTAAAAAAAATTTAATTGGACTGGCTCAGTTTTTTGAATATGTTTCGACACCTATTCAGGATCTTTTTGTCAATTTTGTTGGCTCGCAGCAGGGCAAACTGTAATAAAAACTGAAGTGGACTGTACATTAATGATCACTGATTAGACTTGTGTGTTCTCTAAAGGGATTAAAATTTCCTTGAGATGACCTGTTGCGAGGAAGCTCTATATGAATACAGCTATTAAAAAATGGTAAATGGATGTGTTAGATTTCAAAGTTCAACGAAAATGTGGAAGCTGGAAGAGTTTTGCATGTGGATAAAAACAGGCCCAGCCTTCTCCCGCTTTCAACATCCCTGTGCTCTGTCGCCTAGCAACTGTTAAGGTTGACACACAAAGCAAGAAAAGTAAGAATACCAAACTTCTCACTGCGGTTTCTTTTTATTTATTTTTTTCGTAAAATTAACAACTACACTCATGAAAATATAGAGTGGAATAAAGGTTACAACCACCGGGAGCATGAACGAATAAAATAGCCTGACCCTTTGCAAACACCGAAGTACAGCAATGATAACAATGCATAACATTTTTCATTTTTTTAAACTGTGTCCTGTCTGGCAATGTGGCAATAAGAATAATTGTCTTGATGCCAAAAAGAGCCCAACAGATTTTACTTTCTCAAGTGGATTATCTCAAGAGGGTTATTGCCCTATTGTTCCACTTGTTTCATGCTTATAAATTTCTATTGTAATTATACAGGGAGTTTTACAGTTTATATGGACACTGCAATGTAAATAGAGCAGAAAAACAGAAGAAGGAAAAAAAGGAAAAGAAAAAAAAGATGAAAGAAAGAGAAGATAGAAAGGAGACAATAACAAAACATTTTCAGTCTGCTTCATCACCTGTAACAAGATGAAAAAAGAACAGCACAACCGAAAGACATGGTACGAGATATACACTAAAGCAACACCTTGAAACTATAGCTAAAGTATTATTATTAAGTCTGACATGTACTCTGTGTTACCTGAAGATATGAATGTGGGGTTTCTGTATGGAAGTGAATCTCTGAGTACCTGGAGCCAAGCACCTGTAATTGTTTGTGAGGGTGCACTTGTGCATGTAAAGTTTATCCATAGAAAAAAAAAGCTCAGTAATGGTTGT